ACCGGTGCACAAGGCACCAAATTTTACTTGGACACGGCCAAGATTTTTAAATATGAAATAATCTCATATTTTGAGATTTAATTTCAATACCCCCTTAAACCCACTAGACGGAAATAAATAATGAATGCAAGAGAAAAATATAGATCCGAAAATCGCTGAATCGGGAATCGAACCCGAGACCTTTCGCTTGCCGGGCGACTGCTCTTCCAGCTGAGCTATTCAGAATCCTTTCGATTCTATACTTTTCTCTGTTATATATATTAATGTTGTAAACAAACGCATTTTTTAGCCAGCGTGTATCAATATAAGAGTTTTTAACAAGCCTCTGTAATATAAATATAATTTAACGTATAAGACGGGCAACAAGAGCCAAATCGTCGGTGACAATGCGTTATCCTACGAAACTAATAATTTTTCGTTATAATTAATTTTAGTTTGCCGCAATTGTGTAATCTCTCGGCAATATTATATACTAGCTTTTTTTCGGACCGCGCTTCGCGCGGTCCTCAAAGCCAGCCTTTCTATTCGGACCGCGCTTTGCGCGGTCCTCATATAGTCTATATTAAATCCGTTTTAACACAAAAATTAATTCTTTTTTTGTATTACCGCGAACTACTTCCACATTTGTTGTTCGACTTTCACGAAATTTATACCAAAATAAATGTTTAATTTTTTTTGTGGATGACTACTATGTTATCTATTTCTTTCTCCCAGATATTTTATTTTCTTTTTTAAGACACGCTTTCTTCTCTCTCTCTCTCACTCTAAAACACACGCGCTCCCTCTCTCTCTCTTTAAGACACATGCTCTCTCTCTCCTTATCTCTCTCCCTCCCTCTTTCTTTAAGACACACCGCTCTCTCTCTCTCTCTCTCTCTCTCTCTCTCTCTCTCTCTCTCTCTCTCTCTCTCTGTGTATGTTGTGGGGTTTTTTTAAGTTTACGCTTTCACCTACGCATCCACCCACACAATCGCATATTTATGAACGGATTTTTAAAAAATTGGTACCAAAATGTTGCAAATTTTTGGCGACGATGTGGTTTTTTTCAAGTGTTACACCTCCACCCACACGCATGCGCATTTATGGACCAATTTTCACGAAATTAGTACCAAAATGTTGCAAATTTTTCTGAGAAAGCTGCTGTGTGGTTTTTTTAAGTTTTATCCCACCCACGCATGCATCCACGCATTCACACATTTATTCACATACTTTTTTGAAATTTGTAGTTAAATTTTGTTGGAGATGGCTACTATGATTTTAACAAATTTTTATCATCCTATTCATCCACCCACGCACCCATGCACCCATTTGCATACGCATTTATTGACTTGGTCACACCAAGAAGTAATTTTTAAAAAATTTGTGTACGTATTTGTGATTATGTGTGCAATTCGTGTAAATAAACCTTTAATTTGTATGCAATTTTCACGAAATTAGTACCAAAATGTTGCAAATTTTTGCAATCACAAACATGTACACAAATTTATTTAAAATTACTTATTGGTGTGACCAAGTCAATAAATGCGTATGCACATGGGTGCATGGGTGCGTGGGTGGATGAATAGGATGATAAAAATTTGTTAAAATCATAGTAGCCATCCTCAACAAAATTTGAGTACAAATTTCGAAAAAGTCTGTGAATAAATGTGTGAATGCGTGGGTGAATGCGTGGGTGGGATAAAACTTTAAAAAACCACACAGCAGCTTTCTCAAAAAAATTTGCAACATTTTTGTACCAATTTCGTAAAAATATTGGTCCATAAATGCGCACGCGCGTGGATGAATGCGTGGGTGGAGGTGTAACAATTGAAAAAACCACATCGTCGCCATCTTCAAAAAATTTGCAACATTTTGGTACCAATTTTAAAAAAATCGGTTTATAAATATACGATTGCGTGGGTGGGTGCGTGGGTGGAGGCGTAAACTTAAAAAAATAAAACACCAGCTTTGTCAGAAAAATTTGCAACATTTTGGTACTAATTTCGTGAAAATTGGTCATAAATGCGCATGCGCGTGGGTGGGTGCGTGGGTGGAGGTGTAACACTTGAAAAAACCGCATCGTCGCCATCTCCAAAAAATTTGCAACATTTTTGTACCAATTTCGTAAAAATATTGGTCCATAAATGCGCACGCGCGTGGATGATTGCGTGGGTGGAGGCGTAAACTTAAAAAAATAAAACACCAGTTTCCTCAGAAAAATTTGCAACATTTTGGTACTAATTTCGTGAAAATTGGTCCATAAATGCGCATGCGTGTGGGTGGATGCGTGGGTGGATGCGTGGGTGGAGGTGTTACACTTAAAAAAACCGCATCGTCGCTATCTCCAAAAATTTTGCAACATTTTGATACCATGTGTTCAGAAATATTGCAAAAAAAAATTTTTTTCGCAAAAACATACCCTCCTCTGAAGAAAAAAAATAAAAATAAAAAAATTAAAAAAAAAACCCACAGCAGCCACCCCCGAAAAATTTGCAACATTTTGGTACCAATTTCGAGACAATCGGTCCACAAATGCGGAAGTAGTTCGGGCACAGACAGACAGACAGACAGACGGACGGTGCTTATATATATAGATTAAATTAATCCCTCTCTCTCTTTCTCTCTCTCTCTCTCTCTCTCTCTCTCTCCCTCTCCCTCCTCAATATTATATATAATAATATAATATTATAAATAAATATTATGTAATATAATCATTTTTGCAGTAAAACAGAAAGCTCGATGGGCAAGAGCCGGAAGAGGTACCAATTTAAAAAAAATCGGTTCATAAATATACGATTGCGTGGGTGGGTGCGTGGGTGGAGGAGTAAACTTAAAAAAATAAACCAGTAGTTTTCTCAAAAAAATTTGCAACATTTTGGTACTAATTTCGTGAAAATTGGTCCATAAATGCGCATGCGCGTGGGTGGATGCGTGGGTGGGTGCGTGGGTGGGGTGTAACACTTAAAAAAACCGCATCGTCGTTATCTCCAAAAAAATTTGCAACATTTTGATACCATGTGTTCAGAAATATTGCAAAAAAAGATTAAACATACCCTCCTCTGTAGAAAAAAAAAAAATTAAAAAATTAAAAAAAAACCCCACAGCAGCCACCCCCAAAAAATTTGCAACATTTTGGTACCAGTTTCACGAATATCGGTCCACAAATGCGGAAGTAGTTCGCGTACATACATACAGACAGACGGTGCTTATATATATAGATTTCCGCGTAATAGATATTTAATGTAATAACGTTAGAGTGATGTAATTATATGTATGTATATTTCGTAATTCTATGATTACATTTTCAATATATTATGTATAATTCAAAATTCAGTGTGGTGCAAGGTCACTAAAAATGCAGTGACAATAATTGCTATTAAATGAGTAATTTTGCAACGTTTAATGGAACAGAATATGATAAAGGGCGTCAATTTGTCACATATTAAATGCCAAATGCGTAAATTCTATTCAGATGGGAATTTATGACGCGCGCACAAAAAAGCAACGTTATTGCAAGATCATCTGGACATGTCACAATGCGGGGTATATGCATATGTATAAAAGTATGTTGCGATATGATTAGATTATGTCAGCACAAGGACATAATTTTACGGCAAGATGAATAAAGAGCATCTCTTTTGTATATGTATGTGTGTGTATGTAAAATTTACCTGAGAATATGCACATTAACATTTTAAATTCGATTGGCATAATATTTGTTGACCTAAGTTTTTTCATATTTCTGCAATTCTTCTTGCTTGTTACTTAATTGGTTTTTCAAATAGTTCTGGAGCAAAGCTGGTGCAATTTAATTGCCTATTTTGCAAATTCAAAAATTCAATTTAAAAAAGCATATCGATTACATTTTAATAATATTTAAATATGAAATTTTAAAATGCGTATTTACTTTTTTTTTTTAAATATTACAGCAGCACAGAAACCTGATTTTAAAAAATAACGCTTCCTGAACAAAATCGTATATGTACAATAATATTAAAAACTACTAAAATTTGTATTTCGTACATTAATTTTATAAATTGTTATGAATAAGAATATCATGACTTTTCACGACCATCAAAATTCATAATTTTTTATATATGAAGGGTAAATTTTGAAAGAGCGATTCTCGGCGCGCAATAATGAATATGTCATTTTATTGCTTGACAATTACGTCACTTACCGCTTCCGGGTATCAGATGATTTATCATTGGTCGACATAGAGAGGCCCCTCGATATGAAACTTGTTTTTGATTTCTCGGGGGTATGCCAGGAGCCCCTTCTTTTTCCGCTACTCGTGCTGCTGTTGGCTTGTTCGAGACTTCTCTCGAGGTTCGCGATATTCTGCTCGATATCGATCAGCATCTGCTGCTCATCCTCCATTATTTCCGAGGCCGCGTACGAACTGCAGCTTCCGTCCGGGGGATTGTATCGAATTTCGAAACACACCACCGCCTGTGTAAAAATAGTAACGGATTACAAAAAGGTTTGATAGACGTAAGAATAATTGATGAGTGATAGGAACAGGAAGTACGATGCTTCATTTATCGTGCTGTGGGCGACATCATGTGGCTGCGACAATGACAGCTAGATTAATTTCATGACATAATTGAGATTGCAATTTAATGGGAAACGCCCATGGCCGAGGGAAATAATTAGCACACACATAATTTTAGATATTAGAGGTATTTGAAATAAAGCTAGCCTTTTGTATTTTTTAAAATTTTTTTAAATATATTTTCCTTCTCAAAAAATAGAGAACGATGTATGAGTATTGGAAAACAAAGATTTATGTTGCATTTTGCGGTTTCTGATAAATAATTTATAGAAAAATTAGCTACTCTTTATCATGATTTTACAAAAATAAATTTCAACATTTTCCATGTTTATCACTTTTTTTAACTCTGTTAACAATGTATCTATTTCATTTTGATTTCACGGCGTTACGTTTTCAGTGTGCTTTTCGTTATGAATAATAACTGCATATTGCAACGATAAACGCAGCGATATGTTAAATGTCAGATAATTAAAAATAAACGTACTAAAAAACGACCAATTTGAAACTTTGTCTTTTTCTAATAACAATAATGAAAATAAAATTAATAAAATTAATAAATATGTATAACCATTTTTTTCTTATTTTTTAAATAATTACCTATATTAATTATAAATATGAAAGAGACCTGTCAAATTTTATAAAAATTGCAATAAGTATTAATCAAAATTTATTTTTTGCTATATATACATATAAGTATAAAACGTCCAATAAATCATTAAGGTAATATGTTCCTTATACATTTTTATACTTAAAGTTAAAAGAAAAAGTGTTACATCGCAGAGGGACGCATTTAAAGAGCATGTTTCAAGTACGTCACTTGTACTTCAATGTTTGCCTGTTTAAAATGCTATGTACCAGACACATAAGTACTCTTTACGGGAAAATGTAACCTGGGACAGAGTATTTAATATCGTTGCTGTGAAAGAAGAAGCATAGACAAGAAGCATAATTCAAATTACGTTCTCGAGTAAATTAAGTTTGTTGTGTGGATGGAATACACACGGATCTTGGAAATGTCTGTATGAAACTTGTGCTTTGTTTCTCATCGCTTGAATAATTAATATGTCGTGCTCCAATTTTCTTCTTTGATGCAGGAATGTAGTCAATTTCAAACTCATTTAACAATGATAACAATATTATTTCCAATTTATCCTAAGTTTTGATAGTACTTGCCTTCGCATTCAGCAACATCTTCAGAAAAACTGAAGACCATTTGTATGATAATTTGAAATTTATCGCAAAAACAGCAAATGCAGCATTTATATACATATTTTTATATGGAAAATATTATTTGATTTAATTAATATACAACTCTAAGGGAACACAATAAAATTTCTATTCATCTGATAATATATGTACAAATAATTTTACAAATTAATTACTTCATATATTGGCATATTTAATTATACATTTTATTACGTGCTATTATTTTCGTGTTATTGACTATTTTTTATATTGTTCAAACATATGTATTATTATTTATTGTTTATATTACAAATCCAATTAAAGTTTGTGCATTATTTCAATTAATTAAATCAATAATTAATTAGAGAAAAACTATTATATCAATTTGTTTATATAAAAATTATCTGAAATGATCTATGTGAAGCACGTGAATTAAAATTAAGATATATATTATCCAAAATTATTCGAGACTGTTTTATATTGTCTTCTAAATATTAAATAAGTTTGAAAGAATAGATATTTTTTTATAATGAAAAGTTGAAGAAAACTTTGCGACAAAATGTCAGTATCTTGCAGGTAGATGTAGGACACCGATGCTATATTTGAATGCAATGAAAATTGCATCTCCCCAATGTGCATACCATATACGTACACATAGATATTGCGCATTTATCGTGTAATTACGCATTTAATCATTCATCTCGATATTGAAACGTACCGGAAGCGGTTTATTATTGAGGTCAACTAGGGAATCCGAAACAAAGATCCTTCCTTCGCGCACCACCGTTTGCAACACCAATCCGTATTTCGCCGCGATTTTTTCAGTCCTCAGAACTCCGCGAGATACAACTGCCAATTGCAATACTTCCGCTTCATCCACTGGTCTTCCTAGATTCCACGTAAAGCTCTGAAAACAAGGAATTGGAAAAAGAGATTATTTGAAACGCAGGTGTAAAGAGAATCTTTTTCATCGCATTTTCTCTCCGTTAAAACTAATAGATTGAAGAAAATCGTGGAAGGTCGAATTGACACGTATAAAATTGAATTGTTGTATCTTTTACAATGCTTCTTTCCAACAATATGCTATTAATAATTTGCTATTGATAAAATCATTTTAAGCTTCTCTGTAAAATAAAGTACGTTCTGTAAGATAAAGTAAATGCTTTTAAAAAAGCAACATAGATTAAACATAGATTAAGTGCTTAATAATGGATTACAGATGAAAAACTGTAATATATCTTATATTCTCTTAAAACATTTTTATACATTATTAATATCTGTTTTTTAAGTAAAAATCGTTATATCCGAGTATCCATATAAATCACAATAAATTTAAATCTGCGATTTTAATTTTTTAAAAATCTTTAAAGAATTAAATTTATCTGATTTTATCAAAATTGTTAAATATAAATAAAAAGGAATAAAACAAAATTTTTACTCATTTTTTAATCAATTCTTAATTTTGCCCATGAGAGTTTTATGTCTCTTGCAGATTAGATATTTATTATTATAATTTCTTTTAATCATTTATTTTTTACAGAATGTACAAAGAAAATCTTGCTTTTCCTTCGTCACTCTCACAACTCTCTGATAACGCTACCATAAGCAAGGTAATTCGAATCACGATCGCAAGCTTGCACGCATTTAGTCGACACGCATGTAAAAAACACATGAAATAACATAACATAACATACGATGTGTAGATATACTATATATATATAAAAAAGTGGATCGATAAATTGAGTACGAATAGATGCCCGCAAGGAAACCATGCGATATTTAAAAAAGAACTAATATTGAAACGACTCCAAAGCGGAGACCTGCTAAAAGGTGATCTATTATTTACGCTCGAGAAAGCGCAAGACACTCCTCTACAAGATTTTTAATATAGCTACGTTTAGCATTGCGCCCGTTATACATTTCTATCTTTCTTTTAACGTAAAATATGTGAATTAAAAATATCGATAGCCATTAAAAGGAACCGATAATAACGAAGTTGTGAACTCCTTAAAAAGAATCGGTAATTATAAAGTTATGAATTTTTTAGAAAATTATAAAAATAGTTGGTTAGAATGTACGGGAGAATCTTTTAACCAGGAATATTCTTTATCATCATTAAAATCTCACTTTTCATGGTTATTAATTTAGTTCTGACGGAAAAGCAAGGTTTAATGAAAAATGATGCGTTTCTTTGTGCTCCATATTTGGCAATTACACATGCCATCTAGTACAATATAAATATAAAATAGAAAAGAATGAAATAAACTACAAAAAACCGATTTACGGTTTCACAAAGATTAAAAATTCAATTTTAAATTTAAATAGAAGTTCTTGATATATCTCTGTATCACATGTAGCTTTTTTATTTTTGATTTTTTTCCTACAAACGTATAGGCATAAAATTGTATAATAAATTTATTTTATGAAGTTTATATATTTATAAGTTTTCAATTTTTATTATTAACATCTTATTTTTCCCATCTTTTATTTCAATTTTTATGAATAAACAGAAATTTGAAAAAACACTTTTTAATTAAAATAAAAAAGCGTTGAAGTTATTCGTTTTCTATTTTACTTCAACATTGGATTGTTTTAATTATTTATAATGTTTGTTTATTAGAAGAGAAAACTTGGAGAAACTAATCCATGTTAGAAAAGTTATACAATTCCATAAATTACTCGTATAATTATTTTTTATTTATCTTGTTTATTTTATCAAAACTTTGTAAGAGGCAAAAGAAAATTACTTTGAAAGCAAAGAATTGTAAAATTGCAATTCTTTAGTTTACAAGGACACGTATAATATTGTGCATTTATTCAAATTCCACATGTCTATCAGTTACATCATGTTACAAATGTCCGAGCTATCATCAGGATATTGCAACACATTTATTTTCTTCGTGTTTACGAGAAACGATACATCGTCCCCCAACAGAACTGTCAGATAACCAACTGTCAAACAAGTTTCTCTAACGTGGAGGCACTGGTAATGGATTGGTTGCCTGTATGAAGTTAGCCCCCATTTTCGAATTTTAAAATTTTAAAGGTTGTTCCAGGTTGTTCTAGACTTGTTCTAAATTGTTCCAAAAGATCAAATTTAAAAAATAAAAATTTTCGCGAAAAATGGAAAAAACGATTTTTGACCTGGCCCCCCATTTTTCGAAAATCGAACTTTTAAAGGTTGTTCCAGATTGTTCTAGTTGTTCTAAACATTGTTCCAAAGTGATAATTCCCTAAACAAAATATTTCACGAGATATAATAAAAAAATAGTTTCGTGCGCTAAAACAGTATTTTTACGTTTTCGGCTATAGTTATTATCTCTTAAACACCAAACTGTATATTTTAGCTAAAAACGAACAGAACAACCTGGAACAACTCTCAATTTTGCTAGAACATAATTTTAAAGAGTACTTTACTCTTGGAAATAAACACATTTTTCTTGTTTTTTCGTGTTTTTTGACCGATAACGTCGTGACAGCGGTCCCAAACTATAGAACAATTACGTACTGGCATAGAACAACTTGGAACAACTCTCAGTTTTGCTAGAACATAATTTTAAAGAGTACTTTACTCTTGGAAATAAACACATTTTTTTTGTTTTTTCATCTTTTTTGCTCGCTAAAGTCGCGATAGCGGTCCCAAACTATAGAACAATTACGTACTGGCATAGAACAACTTGGAACAACTCTCAGTTTTGCTAGAACATTATTTTAAAGGTACTTTACTCTTGAAATAAACACATTTTTTTTGTTTTTTCATCTTTTTTGCTCGCTAAAGTCGCGATAGCGGTCCCAAACTATAGAACAATTACGTACTGGCATAGAACAACTTGGAACAACTCTCAATTTTGCTAGAACATAATTTTAAAGAGTACTTTACTCTTGGAAATAAACACATTTTCTTGTTTTTTTATCTTTTTTGCTCGCTAAAGTCGCGATAGCGGTCCCAAACTATAGAACAATTACGTACTGGCATAGAACAACTTGGAACAACTCTCAGTTTTGCTAGAACGTTATTTTAAAGGGTACTTTACTCTTGGAAATAAACACATTTTTTTTGTTTTTTCATCTTTTTTGCTCGCTAAAGTCGCGATAGCGGTCCCAAACTATAGAACAATTACGTACTGGCATAGAACAACTTGGAACAACTCTCAATTTTGCTAGAACATAATTTTAAAGAGTACTTTACTCTTGGAAATAAACATGTTCTAGTAAAATTGAGAGTTGTTCCAAGTTGTTCTATGCCAGTACGTAACTGTTCTATAGTTTACGATCGCTGTCGCGACTTTAGCGGGCGAAAAAGATGAAAAAAAAAAAAAAATGTGTTCATTTCCAAGAGTAAAGTACCCTTTAAAATGATGTTCTAGCAAAATGAGAGTTGTTCCAAGTTGTTCTATGCCAGTACGTAATTGTTCTATAGTTTGGGACCGCTGTCGCGACGTTATCGGTCGAAAAAACACAAAAAAAACAAGAAAAATGTGTTTATTTCCAAGAGTAAAGTACTCTTTAAAATTATGTTCTAGCAAAATTGAGAGTTGTTCCAAGTTGTTCTATGCCAGTACGTAATTGTTCTATAGTTTGGGACCGCTATCGCGACTTTAGCGAGCAAAAAGATGAAAAAACAAAAAAAATGTGTTTATTTCCAAGAGTAAAGTACCTTTAAAATAATGTTCTAGCAAAACTGAGAGTTGTTCCAAGTTGTTCTATGCCAGTACGTAATTGTTCTATAGTTTGGGATCGCTGTCACGTCGTTATCGGTCGAAAAACACGAAAAACAACAAAAATATGTTTATTTCCAAGAGTAAAGTACTCTTTAAAATTATGTTCTAGCAAAATTGAGAGTTGTTCCAGGTTGTTCTGTTCGTTTTTAGCTAAAATATACAGTTTGGTGTTTAAGAGATAATAACTATAGCCGAAAACGTAAAAATACTGTTTTAGCGCACGAAACTATTTTTTATTATATCTCGTGAAATATTTTGTTTAGGGAATTATCACTTTGGAACAATGTTTAGAACAACTAGAACAATCTGGAACAACCTTTAAAAGTTCGATTTTCGAAAAATGGGGGGCCAGGTCAAAAATCGTTTTTTTCCATTTTTCGCGAAAATTTTTATTTTTTAAATTTGATCTTTGGAACAATTTAGAACAAGTCTAGAACAACCTGGAACAACCTTTAAAATTTTAAAATTCAAAAAATGGGGGGCTAACTTCATACAGGCGGATTGGTTTACGTTGACGTCGTAATTGAATTCCGAGGCTTATTAAAATAGCTTTCGTATATGCAATCGCGACGCAGTGAATTAGTTTGGCAAACATTTTATATTTTTTCAAACTTACAATTTGCTGCGTAGGTAATATATCCGTTGGTAGTATCAAAGCTTATCTTTCTGCAACAATTTTTTTATCATTTTGTTTTTTGTTTCACAAAAAGAGGGCAATAACAAAGAGTTGTTTTGCCACTATAAAACCCTGCGCTATTCAGTTATCGCAAACAATAAAGAAGCAACATGTACATTTTCACAATTAAAATCAACGATTAAACTTGCATTAGATTATGAGAGACCTACATACATTCGAATTGCATTCACATTCAGATCATTTCCGATGAATATGTGTTATCCTTGCTTGGGAAAATATATGTTTATACAGGATTGTGTCCGTTCATTTCTCCATCGCGTCGAACGAACGAAATATATGATATTCTGATCATTGTGATCGATGCATGGAATATGCTTTATGAAAGATATTTATCGGTTCATTTAAGATCGCGTAGAAACAGTCACGTTTTTACGTTTCTACGATCGCATTGTTTACGGTGGTGAACACGTGGATCGATTTTATCATCGTACATTTTCTCCTCGACCGTGACATAAAAGTTGATGGGATGGTTTGCCGCAACATAGTAATAGTAACATCGGTCGGGCACGTTATGTGCATATAAAATCGAGATCTCGTCTTGCAACCCGAGAACGATGATATCAATCATGGCACCCTCGGGTTTTGATAATAAATTCAGCGCTCCAGCTGTGTAGCTTTCTTAATTATCAGTATTTTTTTAGATATAATTATGCATAATTAAAAGTAAATTTAATTAATGCAAAAGACCTCTGTGAAGCTGGCCCCTCATTTTCAAAAATTTGAAATTTTTATTAGAGTTCTGATAGCCCCCCTAAGAGTTCTAAAGTTCTCTATCGGTTTTAGAAATAGTTCCGCCATTTAAAATAGAAAAAATATCATTTGAAGATACGGGGGGCCAACTTCACATTTTTTGCAACTTTAACTTGGCATAACTTTTTGTTATCAATTTTAGAGCTTTGGTTATTAAGGATAATTGCTAGAACTCTTTGGGGGCTATTAGAACTCTCAACAGAATTGTCAAATACCGAAAAAAATTTTCACCTTTCTAAAAATCGATAATTCGGGTAAAAATTTTTTCGGAAATCGGCAGTTCTCTCGAGAGTTCTGGTAGCCCCCCGAAGAGTTCTAACGAATCTTCTTAATGATCGAAGCGCTACGACGCGAAATTAAAAAGTTCTGGCTCCCTAAAGTTGCAGATTTGAAAAATTTCAAAGTCCCAGAGGGGTAGAAAATTTTTTCGGAAATCGACAGTTCTCTCGAGAGTTCTGGTAGCCCCCGAAGAGTTCTAACGATTCTTCTTAATGATCGAAGCGCTACGACGCGAAATTAAAAGTTCTGGCTCCCTAAAGTTGCAGATTTGAAAAATTTCAAAGTCCCAGAGGGGTAGAAATTTTTTTCGGAAATCGGCAGTTCTCTCGAGAGTTCTGGTAGCCCCCCGAAGAGTTCTAACGATTCTTCTTAATGATCGAAGCGCTACGACGCGAAATTAAAAAGTTCTGGCTCCTTAAAGTTGCAGATTTGAAAAATTTCAAAGTCCCAGAGGGGTAGAAATTTTTTTCAAATCTGCAACTTTAAGGAGCCAGAACTTTTTAATTTCGCGTCGTAGCGCTTCGATCATTAAGAAGAATCGTTAGAACTCTTCGGGGGCTACCAGAACTCTCGAGAGAACTGCCGATTTCCGAAAAAAATTTCTACCCCTCTGGGACTTTGAAATTTTTCAAATCTGCAACTTTAGGGAGCCAGAACTTTTTAATTTCGCGTCGTAGCGCTTCGATCATTAAGAAGATTCGTTAGAACTCTTCGGGGGGCTACCAGAACTCTCGAGAGAACTGCCGATTTCCGAAAAATTTTTACCCGAATTATCGATTTTTAGAAAGGTGAAAATTTTTTTCGGTATTTGACAATTCTGTTGAGAGTTCTAATAGCCCCCCAAGAGTTCTAACAATTATCCTTAATAACCAAAGCTCTAAAATTGATAACAAAAAAGTTATGCCAAGTTAAAGTTGCAAAAAATGTGAAGTTGGCCCCCCCGTATCTTCAAATGATATTTTTTCTATTTTAAATGGCGGAACTATTTCTAAAACCGATAGAGAACTTTAGAACTCTTAGGGGGGCTATCAGAACTCTAATAAAAATTTCAAATTTTTGAAAATGAGAGGCCAGCTTCACAGAGGTATGCAAAGGTTTCCGGATGGATGCCGCGTGGTTTAACAGCGTAATGCCGACGTTTCGCAAACTGCAACGTTTGCGAAACGTCGGCATACGCTGTTAAACCACGCGAAATCCATCCGGAAACCTTTTGCATTGATGATTCCAATGGCCGCGAAAGTCTTAAAACTAAAATAAATTTAATTTGTTAATTGAGAACCGTTTGAGAGAGAAATTCTAATAAAGCTCTTCTTGGAATTCTCGCTTTAATTTAGAGAAATATGCAATCAAGAAGCATCTCGGAATGGGATAAATTTTATGAGAATCAGTTAAGAAAGATAATAATTATTATCCGACCAACATTTTCTTTTAGATTAATAAGATATTAGTTAAAGATTCTTCTCGAGTTATTTTTAATTATATCTTGACATCCCACATCATCTCTCACCTTGACATTCTACAATTGATTTGCATCAACTTTAATATTCCATCAATAAATAAAAATAATATCGCTTGTTTGCGACAATTTATTTTTTTTTGTTTGCGAACGACATTGAAAATTATTTAGATGCAATTTCTAAGTGATCTGCTGCTGATGCGTTTGCAATATAGGACGTGACAGATTCGGTTTTTACCAAATAATACGCACATCTGCTACTCTCTCTTCGACGCTCGCACAATATGCTTATAACAGGACATCAACACTTGGATAATCCAATATTTCAGTCAAGAATACTTCACTCGAAAGGCCATTATTGCCAATGCAATCCCATTGAATCTATCGTTGTCATCACATATTAAAAAAAAATTATTTTACGGAAATAAAATATATGCATTTAATTGTAACTATAATAAAATATTCTCGAGAAATACTTTCTAAACGGAAATATTTTTTGTATTATAAATGTAACAGTAATTAAAATAGTTATAACAATTTAGTATTTTTATCTTGCTTTGTTTCAAGATATCTTTAATTAATAACAACTCAAAAATAAAATATTTTTAAATTACAATCCTATATGTGTATAACATATGATATTTTTGAATACATTTTGGATTCTTTCTTAATTTTTTAATTTTAAAACTTTATATCAAATGAAATTGTTTCTTATGAGATTTATTTATTTCATGATTATTATTAATATAAAGTTTAAATTCGTTTTATACTTTTATTGAAATTTTAGAATCAATTTTTTAAAAGAAGTTTGTTTGTTATAACTTAATATAACGTAAAATATTTTCATCAGAATAGGGAAAACGAAGAAGGATAGCATAGCGATGATTTCCCAGAGGAATTGGATTAACTCTGAATACAAAATTTGCAAAAAGTCAAAATAACTTTTTTGATGTTAAGCGTAATCTTGTTTGTTACGCCCACTCCATTAAAGCACACATTTAATCTTGAATACAGATATGTATTCTCAAGATTTATAAGACTTATAGATTTAATTCTACAGAAATAAAAATAAAAAAGGAGGAAAACACACATACACACTCTTTTTACCTGTTCTACTTCGATAACGTCGTCATTGTCTTCGAGATTCGTTGAATAATGCGATACCTCTGCAACAGACAAGAAAAATACATATATTTCAAATTTTTCGTGTATTTATATTATAATATATTATACATATATAAAGATCGTAATTTTTAAAATATAAGTTCTTATATTATATTAACAATTAAAAGCATGATGCTCATTTTTAATACAATAATATAACAACTATTGAACTTAGAAAATAATATATATATATACATATATAATAGCAAGAAAATGAAAAAAGCACACACACACATAAAAATACAAATTACAAAATTAAAATATTTGACATAATATATACGCATTACCGTTAACGCTAAATTGCTATATATTACTTATTTTAAGTAAGTCTAATAAGTTGGTACAACCAAGAGAGAAAGAGAGAATGTGCTTATATAAATATAAAATAAAATATTTCAATTAATATAAGTAATTTTGTATAAAAATTTTTTCATGTTTCCCAAACTTACAATTAATGTAATTATTATCAGTCTTGCATTTAACTATAGTATTACGTACAATGAATTTATTGGTTCTTCTCAAGTTCGCCGATTAATGATGGCACCCAAAGAAAAATTAAAATTACATTTTGCGGTTTTACGTCAGAAGCATGTACTAACGGTAGCTGATATTCATAAAGAGGAAAAAGAATGCACTTAAGCTCAGCTTTAAAGCGTCGTACAGGATAAGAACTCCTTTGAGGCAGCATACAAAGTGCTTTTATTCTTACAACAACAATAAATACCGTATCCCCTATTTAACTATGGAATTCTCACAATGCAAGATACGATTAAATCGTATTGCTTCGCAATGTGCCCAACATTGCGTATAATAATGCGAAAACGATTTACGTTGTGAAAGCATTGTAACGTTAAAAAAATAAATCAGCAGACTTCTACCTCGTAAAACATGCAATTTCTACGTTATGATAGAAAAAATTCTTTTCTTATTTTCTTTCTTGCTTATTGCAACCATAATTTATCTATATCTTTAATGAAAAATGACTTTTCGCGCGAGTTTATTAAATGAAAAATAAATGAACTTTAAGTTATGCGTTTTATTTATATTCGCAGATCATAAAGTAATCGAGAAATATTGGAATAAAAATAACAAAATAATTTAATTTGTCAATGAAATTCTATTATAGTTAAATAAATGTACATAGCATCGCTTTCTTGCTTTAATATTTTATAGAACAAGCTTTATATATCATATTATAGAAGCATCTGGTCTGATATATTATATGCATGCTCATATGTAACGCAATTTATTTATCATTTGTAAAAATCTATGCAATTTTCTACAATCTATTTACTGAACAAACTACTTTCAAGCAACTTATTTTACTTTTTATTTATAGTATAATTAAAGCGAGATAACAAAATTGTTATCGTCGGTTGTCCGGCGGAAAGCTCGACGATAGAGTTCCACGCAGTAGATAAGGAGCTTTATGATCAGCCACATACGATGTATGTACGAAGTGCTCGTTCGTTAACGCGTAATTTCATTTTTCATTCCTCGCAACTTTTTTTCTACGTCTGTCAACTTTTTTGAACAAAAGCGAACAAAACCGGCTATTCCGATAGATGCCATCGGAAAATGGAAAACGTATGCATAAGAAATATTCACGCGAGAGAATTTCCTTTTTATGAACCATGACCGCAAAATTTAAAAATTTAAATAGGAATTTGATTGACGTAAAACATTTAAATATAAATTAATAAAAAAAAATTACGGGTATATTGAATATTAATATTGACTGAGATGTCTCTTGATTGTAAATTATTATTTAAATTTATAATTTAATAAGTAAACAAATTATTCTATTAATTCTCTTTTAACAAAAATTGCAGTTTTTTTCGCAATTTTTTGTAATTATATATTGCACATTTTGCTGACCGTCATATTTTTTATAAATATAGATATTACAAGAAATAAATAAATAAATAATTACTTTTTTTTTTTAATGCAATCTCTCGATAAACTGTACGAAAAAAACTATATAATTTATTAATAAAAACGTAACAGTTAAAAAATTCTAAAAATTATTAATATAAATATAATATAATAGACATTATATTCTATTTCGTTTACTTACAATAAACCCGATTATTTAGTATTCTCAATTCTATTTTGGAAACATTTACATTTATTAGATGCATAGTTATAAACATAATTAAAGAGCATAATGTTTGCGATTATTATAAATTTATTTGCGTCAGCCTTGCCAGTTCTACCCATATGTAGTTTTATGTAAATTAAGTTATGAGCGCCGTCACTCGTGTTTGTATGATTATAATACTTAGAGGCTTTTTCTGTTGCGAGCACAATAAAATTCTGATATTATGCAGAAATAGCTGAATAACTTTCATAAGAAAGAGAGCGATCCGTCGACGAATATATGAATATTACATTCTTTTTACATAACGAATGCAGATATCGATTTATTTTCGAGGCTCTCATTTGCAAATTGCTTACTAGTGGATATATTATAGATTATCCGTATGAACGATCTGCCTATTCTGAAAATAACGCTTTAATAATTGCTATGTAGATCTATGAAAGACTTCACGCGAAACAGCTGCATCACGATGAATTGTTCTTTAATAATCAGTTGTGATCGCGTAATATACGCAGAAAATTGCAGCCACTATTAGGTGTTATTGTCGTAAGGGTAGAAATGCAAATTATCTCTATTTATAATAATCGAGTAATTATTATTGATAAACCGTAACGTATATAGTGTCACACAAATGTAATTTTATCGCGTTTGTTGTATCGCTGATACAATTTGATGGCGAGTTAATTAATTTTCCAAGTACACACGACCCGTATATTCTCGTTCGTTAACGAGATATTGATAAAATTATACAAAAAAAATTTGTCGAGCAGTTATTTGCGATTTGTTAAAATGCAAAGAGAAAAGAGAAGAAAAAACACAATTGCCGGCCGATATTTGTGATAAACCGCCGCTATTTTCGCAGCTGACGCACGTCAAAGCAACCATACGTTTGTCATTTATCTACCTGCTACCTCTATTTTTATTTTGTCAAGCTTAATATTTGTTTATATATATATATATATATATATATGTGTGTATAATTAATTTTATTGCAACTTCACAGCGTTTACATTTTATTAACGCGTTGATTTGATATTCTACTATATGACACAATTTTGCCGAGAAAAGTGTATGGTGTTTTGAGAATAATTTTATCATATTATATTTGATTCCCGCAATACTATATGCAGTATTTTTTAAATAATTTTAAATATTTTTATGCTTTATATGTGTCTAACGTATAAAATAATGTATGAAATTTTGTCCTCTATTAATAATTCGCTAAAAGTATTATTATTTTGCAATATAGAAATATTCAAGAGGCAAATTGAATAATTATATTTTATTTTTTATATTTATATTTCTGTGATAAGAAGCTTTTAATGAACGAAGCTTTTATGATAAATGAGAAAAAAGTAAAACTAATTCAAACTTTAAAAACATGTTAAAATCCATTATATTGTTGGAAAAAAATAATTGAACAATGAATTATTCTAATTCGTTATATAAAACAATATATCTTCTGTATTCTCTCCAGGATCTTTATATTTTAATATGTCTATTTTGTTGAAAAAACTAACGTTTATTAAGTGGATACACGAATCATCTGCGTGTACATTGCTCACGTATGCATTAAATAAAAGATTTTCTCTCGCGGAAGAGGTTCTCTCTTCGATGTAGTGTATTTCACAAACTTGATTCTTAAAATTTACATTTAACTTTCTGAAATATATACTTACGATTAAATATTATAATAGATGGATATTTTACATTTCTCGTTTGTGTAAAAAATTATATCCAGCTAAAGCTTTCTCTTAAAATAGAATTAATTAATTATCGGAGAAATATGAAGACATTCATTCGCAAATACTATAGAGATTTCGGATTTTCTATAAATTCACCATTTAACGCGACATTTCTCGCGTATTAGCGTCAGCATTAATCCTAATTTACGCAATCAGCTTCATAATATATGTATGACGTAGATGCATTTGACGGTATATTTGTAAACCCTAAAGACCGCGATAATTCGCGGAAGCCAGGTATTAGCATATCGCAAGAAATTACGCTCTTATATGAAAACGGATTACGCAAGTCGGACGGTGACCTTTCATGCACAGCATTTCTGTGTAATTCGTTATTACGGGAAAATACACAGATGTTATCTGTACACAGATATCTGTGCGTACATCATCAACGCTTTGGTTGAGGAGATCTTCCTCTCTTCTTCGATATAGCGTGTTTACTCAAACTAGGGCAAATATATATGATTAAATGAAACGTTATACTCTCTATAGGACTTAGGGCATTTCAGGACATGCGTCCTCTCGTATCTGTGAATTCTCTCCAGCTCTACAAACGCAACCTCGCAGCGTAATGATAATGCGAAATAACACCAAATTAAAAGTTTTGTTCAAAGAATAATATCTCGCAGGGCAACTTAAATGTATCTAGTTAAAAAAGTTTCACATGGTCGTGTTATATAATATAAATCTTTTTGAAACATGATTTTTTAATATAAGAATTAAATTCTTAAAGGTTTTAAAACAATTAAATTCTAATTTCTCTTGCAAGTTTATTAATTTTGCCATTATGATTGGCATATTATAAAGAAATTGCATTATAACAATTTATTGTAAATGACGCAGTTTTATAGTCATTTGACACACAATTTTCTAAGAAAATTAATTTTCAAATTTAAAGAAAAAGCGAAGCATATTTATAATACATATGTACAACAAATATGATAAACAATGCAAAATTAATACCTAATCAAACCATCGCATACCAATGCTCAAGCTCGTATGACAATAAAAACAATGATAAATTATTAAATTAAGGCCATGTGTAACGAGCAATACGATATTATTTTATTATTGAGAAGAAAATTTTTAATTTGAAATAAAAATTACACAAACGTTTCGAGCTCTACTTGCTCCTCTTCAGTGCGCAAAAAAATAGTGATAATAAATAACGATAATAAATAAATACATAAAATTCTAATAAAAAATCCGCAATACATAGTCAAAATAAGTTATATAGTTAAGTCATAGTTAAAACGCAAAATAAATTTACAATGAATTAAAACCATTAAAATAGTTCAACAAAGTAAGAACCCAATTAGAAGCAGAATGATTCGTCCGGTTATTCATAAAATATATTAGAATTATTAATAAAAACTCGGAGTGACGCTTATACATTACTCCAAACGAACCACTTATCGTTATTTGACGAAAGTCCCTCGATCTGGCAATGATTATGTTCATCCTCTCCAAATTATTTGATATTTGTTAACTGAATTTAAAGAATTTATTCAATTGTAAAATAGGATTCCACTAATGTGTATGTGAAAAAGATTAAAAATTATAAATTAAACTAAATACTAAAATATTGAACCTTTATGCTTACAAATTGTTCCGAATAACTTGAGATGACAATGCTTCTAATTGTTGTTGGCCTTATTGTTAGTACTTGACTGTTGTCTAGTCTTTTAAAAAGTCGAATAAATAGGTGTCAGATCTCACAAAATAAACATTTACATAAGTCTAAAAATTCGATATTTCTTCTAGAATGTCGAAATACGCGTTGTTAAGCAATTCGGTGTCTGTGTTATTATTTATACCATGCCTTTGTTCCTTGATGTGTATCATTTCCGAGATAAGTCTTTTATAATAATTAGATTCAATATCAAGTATTTTAACGTTATCCCAATCAAAAGCATGTTTTTTATCTATAATATGTTCAGAGACCACAGAATGCTTGGAGGAATCAAATTTAATATTATTCATATGCTCTTTTAGTCTAGTGCGTAATTTTCTTTTGGTTTGCCCAACATACGAAGCTTCACAATCCTTACAATTAATTTTGTAGACAACATTATTATTATTGTTATGCACGTTTTTGTCCTTGTGGACTTTAATTAATTTGTTAAGATTATTTAGACAACGGTATCCTACTCTGAAATCTGATTTTTTTATTGTCGATGCTATTGTCTCAGAAATGTTATTAATGTATGGAATGACGAAAAATTTTTTCTTGCTATTATCTTCTGCAATTTCTTTTTTTCTATTGTTGTTAAACTGACCATTGTTTAAAACTCTTATTCTCTTATTTATTTCTTTAAAGATTAAATGAATAGGGTAACCGTTGTCCAATAATATTTTAATACACAGTTCTAAATTTTTCTTATGATATATGGGATGAGATAATAACAATGCCCTATTAATAAGATTATAAATTACTCCTATTTTATGGCACATAGGGTGACTCGATAAAAAAGATAGTACTCTACCTGAACATGTCTTTTTTTGAAACCAATCTAAGTGTATGATGTTGTCTATTATTTTAATGTTTAAATCTAGAAAATTTATGCTTCTATTAATTTCGTATTCAATCGTAATTGTAGTCGTTGATTGTAACTATTAAACTTATTCAATACGCTATCAATTTTATTCTTTGGTGCCACCATAATAATGTCGTCTACATATCTATAATATATTCCAATACCAATGTCCAATTCATTAATTATTGATTCTTCAAGATCTTGCATAACAATATTAGCAATTATTGGCGATAACGGGGAACCCATAGGTGTGCCATAAACTTGCTTGTATACAATGTCATTGAATGTGAAGTATGTTGACGACAATATAAATTTAACCATGGAAATGAAATGAGTGTCACTCCGAGTTTTTATTAATAATTCTAATATATTTTATGAATAACCGGACGAATCATTCTGCTTCTAATTGGGTTCTTACTTTGTTGAACTATTTTAATGGTTTTAATTTATTGTAAATTTATTTTGCGTTTTAACTATGACTTAACTATATAACTTATTTTGACTATGTATTGCGGATTTTTTATTAGAATTTTATGTATTTATTTATTATCGTTATTTATTATCACTATTTTTTTGCGCACTGAAGAGGAGCAAGTAGAGCTCGAAACGTTTGTGTAATTTTTATTTCAAATTAAGAATTTTCTTCTCAATAATAAAATAATATCGTATTGCTCGTTACACATGGCCTTAATTTAATAATTTATCATTGTAAATATGATAAAATTTAATAATTTTTTTGTTATATTAGAAATTATAAAACATTTCATTTTCTAAGTAATAGCATTTATAAGACTTAAAACTCAATATAAAATATAATATTTTGAATATGACATATAAATATAAATATCATATATGAGTATATGACATATGATATACTCTGAGATAATAAGTAATAAAGCTAAATGTAATCAAATTAAATGACATTTTACCTCAATGCATGACAAGAAACATATTCTAGAGTTTGTCGAGGAGTGTGTTGCACTTAATTATATGTATTCTCGACTCGATCAATTCACCGATTATGAGATCAGTAGTCATCGATGCATGACAATGCATAATTGCATCCCGCGTTGACATTAAATTTAAGCAAATTGACCCGGATCATTGTTCTCCTGTGACGAGAACACAAATCTCCGACGCGATCAATCGCCCAAATACAATGCTTCAAACGTAAAAAGGACGTATACAAAGGACGTATACGCGTTGGAATGCATCCAAGCACGTGTCTTGTGCATTAATTCATGGAATGTGCCTAGCAATGAAGCCTGACGGTATATTAAAAGTGTAATATAAAGGCGATAGTGAAGATATATGTAGCTTATTAAAGTGCCTTAAGAAGGATTATGCTATATAAATCAGATGATAAGATCGAATTATCTCTGATAATTTCTTCATGTCAAGAAGAAAGTTCAATGTGGGTGATTTAAAATATAAATAAAAATAAAAAATGTGTACGTACGTAGAGCAAATAATTATTAATTTTTGAGTATTAAAAAATATCGACAAGTTTTTCGATGAAAGAAATAGTCCATTGTGTGTTAAATTTTGCACATCGGTTTTTTTTCAATCTGAATAGCAAATTTAGAAAGATCATTCAAACACAATTCTCTGAAAAAAATTTCTTCCGACAAAACCATTTTATGCAAACTTTGACAAATGAAGTAAAATTTCAAAAATTATTAATTACCTCGAAAATCGATTCTCGCCACCTTTCCCCTTTGCATTTAAGACCTTGGAAATTTTTTAGTATAACGACGAGCGACATTCTTGCACCGTTGTTGAAACACGATTATAGTTGTTGAACAGAATTGCTTCTCGTCTAATTCTCGATGATTGCTCTCGCGTGACTGACAGTATCAGTTATGACTCCATTCATCGAGAACGTTTTCGCGCCATTCATCATGAACCGATGCTGTTCAAATCGAGAAGAGCCTCGGGATTCCAAGGACCTTATGTGACGAGGAATCCCTTCGTTGCTACGTGCGATATCGAACCAGGTGAAACGCTCGAGGCGACCAGCCAGGGGTCAAGGCGTAGGAGGAGCGGAACCGAACCGCGAGATCTCAGACGCGTCACGTTTCAGTCACCTCTCGATGGAGGAGCGCGACGCGGTCGTGGTCACGTGGATCAGCGCGATCGTGCCTCCTGGAGGCTGACCCGTCGACTGCTGCGTCCTCAGCGAGTTCGCACTTTAAACAACCCTCGCGAGTGCTCATCGGGGTACAATTGGCGCACGCGCCCCTGACCGTGCGTGGTGGTTGCTGTAGTCGGCGTTCATCACTACCGCCATTCCCGCTGAAACCGGCACGGTTTTACACATCACATACGGAACGCCGGACGTCATTAATGGATGACGTACGTCTCTCGTACTTCTCTCTCGAATCGTTAATTAATTGCGCGAATTTCGCGCGAAATGCTTAGGGATCGGGAAAAATTAAACAACCATTTTGCGTGGATTTTTTAGATTCTAAAATTGATTGAGAAATAAATAATAACAAAAAAATAAAAAATATAGAAAAAAATGTTTCAGGACCTAGAAGAGATATCTATAAACAATATGCGTATATGTATCTCAACACAAAAAATTCAAAATAAGTTTAGAGATTTAAACTCGATATTTACAATACGGATTAAACATTTGCATTATATAAAACTTTAAATTATATATATATATATATATATAATTTACATATAGCACAATTAAATTAAAATGTTAGCTTAAAGATAAGAGATATCTTATACAGTAATTTTTCTGCAATATTGAAAGAAAAAGAGCCCATTTTTATACTTTTTTTGTATAATATTTTATTAAGAATGTGAACGTCAAAGTATGCATTTAAGTATGCATTACGCGATGCATATAAAGAATAAAAAAAAGTATAAGAAAAGAACACTTTATTAAGTATTTAAGAAAAAAATTAAAATTTTTATAGTTACTATTAAGTGTGTAATATGTTTTTATTTTTTAATCATATTCTTGTGTAATTAAAAGCAATTAAAGGTTTATATGCTTTTTTTTGCTATATATAAGATACTAAATTAAAATTACACACACACACACACACACATATATATATATATATATATATATATATATATATATATATTTGTACTCTACAAAAATTTATATGCAGAAATCTTATATGTTGCGATCAATCATATATATATATATATTCCATCAATTTTTTCCATCAATGAACTATCGTGCATATTTATATATAAAAATAAGAAAATAAAATATAATTGCAAGTTTTGTTATATTAGAAAGTATATAAGTAAAGGATTTTTATAATTATATTATAAAGGATATAAAGGATATGACACTTTTTGTACACCGTACGACAACATATTGTATACAAATGTAAGAGGTCAATTGGCTCATTACAATTTTAGGAAAACTGCGGATCGTTTACAAGTAAAAAGATATTCTGAGATAAATCCTGGATTTATCCTAGATATTTCTTATAAAATATGCACATATCACGAAAAAATAGAATGACATAAGATCAGCGCAAAAATATTATAAATTATGCTAGAATAATATTTAAAAAATATTAAAAATATAACAATATACTTATCAGTATTAATTAATAAATCGATCACTATATCAATATTCAATGTATGAATAAAATTACTTCTATCTTTTTATATTGGATTTCAATATACAAAATTCCGAAATTAGTTATAATTTGCACATACAATAAAAAATTGCATATGTGCTTTTTTCAACAAGATAATATCACAATGATTTATTCTAAAATGTCTTCCAAAAATATAAATTGTGATATTTTCTATGTTTATTTATTGTTCAAATTAAAGTTGATGATAATTCTGCAACTATTTTTGAATGTGCATTGTAAAATATTCAAATTATTTTATTCAATCGCAGTTATTTATGTAAAAATAAAAAAAAACATTTAAAATAAAAATCACAGAAGTTTGAAAAATATATAGGGGTATGGAACCATCAAATATAATCGGATCGAATTATTAGCATTTTTATTCGGCACGATTTTTTGCATTTGTCACATAGAATGTATTATGAAATATATTATTCTGTATCTGAGATATTTTAATATTTTTGTATATTTAATGTATAGGCCACATTACTGTTAGTCTTACAATTAGACTCTATTAAATATTCAAATTTTCCTAGACGTGGTACGTAGAAACCCCTTTAGAGTCTAAAATATTTAATCATTGAAAATCTGAGTTTCTCAGAGCGACAAGAATTTCTTCAGCTTTTCAACTTGAAATTGACGATACACTTCATTTTTTTATACGTTTCTTAAACAAAACAATTGAAGAGAGTTGTAAAGAAGCATTTTTATTTTTTAATGTTCATAATATTTTTCATGTGCCTTGAGCTTTTATTTCGAGCTTTTATTCGAAGCCTCACTTTTTTCCTCTTTTTATGTTCTCTCAGCTCTGAGTAAATGTTATATTCACCAAAACCTTCGTTTTTACGAGCTCTTAAACGTAAGGCTGTAATTCATCATAAAAGAATACCGTTTCATTTATATCATGTGTGTGAGCAATTACATCTCTTATTTAAAACGTTATATTTATTTTATACGTGCAGGAATATAAAGTAATACTGATGCGTCGAATAAAATTTGTTAGCCAGGAATCGCGTTTAAGAGACCTCGAGAGAAAAATTGAAGCACCTTTTCGACAGTCATTGCGTGAGAGTTTGTCTAACAAATGGAAAATAAAACTCATAAATATATCACCCTCAGGATTGACGTATCAAATCTACTTAATTCCAGATGCAATTACTTATTTCAGATTATTATCAAACTATTCGCGATTGAAAGTGAAATTGAAATAGAAAAATGATATCTCCTTGTACATCGACCGACATATGTACAGCTAATAAATATTACCTGTTTTCTGAAGGGAATGTGAAGGGTGGATCAATAATAGAATGGGGGTTGGCTGGGATTTCTCAGCGCCATCCCTCTATATTACGTAGAACTAACAACTGTTGCTTCATTCTTTACCCCTTTCTCTATTGTTGAGCTTTAATATTATTATTCCATTTAAATTTATTTTTACTTCCCAAATCAAAAATCTTCGATGATTTCGCGGGGTGATTACTTTCAATTATATTTTACTCAAATCTTCCATTTTTAGATACATCCCAGTAAGCAAAAATTATTGTTATAACGTTATTATAATAATTTTTATTAACATAATAATGTTGTCAAGAATGTAGTTCTTAATATTGTATGTAACATCATTACGAACAAACTTTGACATCGATTTAGAGATTTCGGTAATGTTGAAATAACGTTTTTGAAATATTTTATTAATATTTTGAGAGCATTATTAAATAATATTTTCAAACATTTATGAAACATTAGTCAAAATATTTTTTAAATATTTATTAATACGTTTATTAAAATATTTTAAACATATTTATAAACATATATCACAATGTTTAGAAAATTTATATAAAATCAACATTTTAAAATGTTGATTAAATATTCTTGCTTACTGGGATATTTATGTATAATGAGAAAAAATTTACATGCAATGAATATTAAAAATATATAAATATTTAAAATATATTAAATATATGAAAAAACAGTTTTATTAGTTCATAACTTTGAATTTAATGCCTTATGAAAATAATGTCGATGCGAGAGTTATATATAAAACCGTAAAAAAGAAAGGAACCTTCACCTTTCTTCTACCGATTTCTTACGTTTTGAAATGCTGTTGATATATCTCAAGTGTTTGTGGAAAGTTTGAAACGGAAATCTCATAGGATAATCATTTTTTAACAACACTTTATAACGATCAGTTCAATATTCTTACTATGATATGTTGTTAATATATAATAATAATAATTATCATTGTTTTTATTATTATGTTATAATAATAGAAAAAACAAAAAATCTTAAAATCAATTATGTACATAAATAAAAAATGTATACTTTATTTTTAAATTTATTAAATTTTTATTTTTAATTTAGGAATTGTTTATAATTGAAACATTATTAATATCAAAGTTCATATAATATTATGCTATATTATTTTATTTTTCTTTCTCTTGTAAAAATAAAAATAGCGATTGCAAAATGCATGTATATGTTCTAATCCATTTAAAAACTGGAAAGTTTACTTCTATTTTTATCTTGAAATAAGCTAAAAGGAACAATCTGTTTATTCTGTATTACCGACTAGATATTTCGCTTTTTTTTATCTATTGCAACACGATTTAATTTTCCTTTCACTTAGGTTGACCTATATAATTAGCAGCGTGGATGTTACAATACATGCTTTAGATTGGTTATAATTAAAGATAAGATATTTTAAAGATACTAGCTTATTTTGATACATTTATATTAACAACATATCGCAATAAAATTAATAATATTAAAAATTTAATAAGAAAATGTTTATTTTTTAATTAATTGTGTGTTGGTAATTTTTATACTTAATAACTAATAAAATAATCTAAAAAGTATTTTTTTCTTTCTTATTTTAATTGCACTGTTTAATTGATTGCAAGCAACGTAAATTTACTGTTTTTTTTTCTTTCTATATACATTTCTTTAAAGTATATGCTAATCATGGAATTGATTTAACAATAAGTGAAGCTCATAAATTTGCTTTATATCGCTGACTATACATAAATTTGCTTTACATACCAAGAACAATGGCAATCATTGATTATCGTGTTATCAATGCAAATAGCTACAGTACCGGCTAAAAT